CCTTTAAAAGCTTCAAGTGTTCAACTGCATACGCAAAAAAAATCAATAGAAATTTTGAAAAGAAAACGCAAAGGAATAGTTGGGTGGTTGGCCATGTCCCATTGGAAAAAAGAAGGGGTTCATAAGGTAATAAAAGCGCTTGCACGCTGAGGGGCGGCGCGCCGACGTCTCTGAGTTCCGAGCGCAGGAAATTCGAAAATTTCTATTCCTGCAGTCCTGGTGGGAAGTGTGTGAGATTTTTACAGCTTTTCTTTACATTTCTTTTCTTTTTTTTCAGGCAAAAGGTACCACTGACTACTCAAGCAGATGTAGTTGCCTCTCTCACATGGAAGTTAGAAAATGGTCCATTTCTTGTACTTTCGTAATTTTTTTCACACTTACCATACGAAATAGACAAACAAACATCTGCTTGAGTCAGCTGGTACCTTCTGCCTGAGAAGGAAAAGAAATATGAAGAAAACTATAAAAAACTCACACTCACATACTACCCTCCACCGCCGCGGAAACAGCTGTTTTGTAATCTCCCTCGCTCGAAACTCGTCCCGTCGGTATGCCGCCCCTTTATCTACAAGCGTTTGTTATCTTGTGTTAAAATGACTATCAATAATTCAGTTTGATTTATTGAATGCATCATAGAAGTGAGATCAGAAAAGCGATAAAGAAAAAAAAAGAAATCAAAAAGAAATCCCAGAGATCAAAAAGGAGATAAATCAATAGAAAACCCAGCATTATGACAAATAAGGAACAGTTTATGAGAATGCAGACTACTATTTGTGCTCTTCTAATAAGCCTAGTTTGTGAGTTTAGCCGAGACCTGCCCTTGCGAGTTCCGAAACATTTTTGACGCACAGCACACTCACAGGCAAACAGCGTGCAGCTTGTTACAGTTAGTTTTTCTGGCTAGCTTAAGCCTTTCCTGCGTAAAAAGTAAACCTCTTCAATTTTAGAAATAAATAAATGAACTAAACAAATAATATTCTGACAAGTCTCCCTGTAAACTTGTTCTCTTTCTTGGGAGCAGCCGCAGCAACATCGGCTTTTTCCAAGCTGCGCAAGAAATGTTGCTGTCGTAATACAGCGACATGTTAAAGGAATATATGCGTTTTGTCAATTATCACATTCACAATGCAGTCCAAGCTTTCTCCTTGTTTTTACATTGAAAGAGCGATCTGGATATATTTCATTTTTCTTTGCTGAGCTGTAGGAGAACCATGTCGAAGGAGCTGTGGGTTGGTCTAGCAGCAGCCACAGCAGCGTCGGCCCTGTTTGGCACTGTCTTCGTTCCCGTCAAGAAAGTAGCAGTTGGAGATGGTAAGAGAACGCACCAACAATCGTAAATTTTCTCTTTCGTGTAAACGTTTTTCGTTCTTAAAAAGAAAGCAAAACGAATTTTTTGAAACTTTCTCGCTTCAGTTGCACTATCACTTACAATTCACATTCTTTTCACACGTCAATGGTGAAATATGAGAAAAGAAATGCAGCTGAAATCTTTTTTGGATCTTTACAAATAACTAACTTCATTGTGCACAACTTCAGGGTTTTCTGCTCAGTTGTTTATTTGTATCGGTGCATTCTTGGCAAGCACTTTCGTGCATGGTCTGCTTGATTTCCCTCCAGTGCAAGGCTTCGCGATGATTGGGGGTGCATTGTGGAGCATAGGTAAAATGAATTTCTAGGCTTTTCAAGCAGAATGAATTTTCATTTAACAGCTAATGCTTTTGCACTGCAAATAATGAAACGACTGGGTATGGCTCTTGCGATTCTCGTATGGAATACAGTGTCCTGCATAACAGGATGGGCTACATCAAGGTATCTGTTGTATTCTTAAGAAAAAGATTAATGCTTCCAATTTAGATATGGCCTTTTCGGTCTGCCCGCCGCTGTGCCTGCAAGCTTAACGTTGAACTACTTGGGAATAATCGTGCTTATTGCAGGGTGATTTAAAATTTTTTATATCGATCCCCGCTTGGCTCCCAACTCAATTTGGGTTGGAATGCTTGGAGCTCTTATATGCTGCTTTGCTCCATTATTTTTGCAATCTTAAATCAACACTGACACAACGCTTACTTACCATAAGATGAAAAATGACTATAGTATTTCTTGCTGGGTCCTATACCCATTGCAAAAGAGCGTAGTAGCGAAGAAAATTTATTGTCCTATCATGATGAGGCTACACGGATTGGCATAGCCCATGATTAAGTGTTATTGATGTCAATAATTTAATTATAGAAAGAGCTAGTTGGCCTTTTACTTATAATTAGCTGTAATCTAGGAGAAGAGAGAAAGCTTCTTAACATGGTTTACTTCTTTACATTAATTTTTATAAGCAATGCATTTCTTCAATGGTATGCTGAAAGTTTTATTAAAATCAAATTTTCTAGTAAACATGTGACTTCCTCGTGCTTTGTTCACTTAACAGCAGAATCCTCATAAGCATCAACCTTCATAGATTGTATCCCTAAAGCAGCGATCTGGTCCCACTATGAAGCAGAGGAGATATCCTATGGGAGGTAAAGAAAAGGCGCTCGACGGAAAGCACGGATATCGGAGACGCTTAGCACATAATTATAAATATAAGGAGTGGCAAGAATACTTTTACAACGTTTATTTTTACTACATGTGAATTCACAAGAACACCACGTGAATTCTTTAAATTTGTCAATAACATACTTTACTCGCATTTAGTGCATCAAAATTGTGGAAGGATTTAGATATTGCAAGATCATGCAGCTAAAAATTATGCAGTTTCTGGATGATAGTATAATTAAATAGCTTCACGAAAAACTCACAAAGATACTTTAATATCACAAATACAACCAAATTTAAAATAGTTCATAGTTCTCTTGTCTTAGGCGTTCCAGGTGCAACTATAGTTTAACGCTATAAACGAAAGAAGCTATTATAAGCGTTAAGGACGTGTGCGTTATTGCTTCCAGAAGAAGAAAGTTAGCAGGTTATAATTCTCTTTTGCCTCTGCACATTCTTCTTCTGCTTCTACTCATTCTTCAATGTATGACTCTATATCTTCCTCAGCAATTTTTTATTTCCGAATGCATAAATAAATTAATAATTTCCTTATGTTAACTTTGAAACCTTTGGTTTTAATCGTTATGCATCTGCAGCTTCATTTCACTTTAAACACCCCCGGAAGTTAGAAAATGTTTCGTGGAGTTTTCAACAGGTAAACTTAAAATCGCTAAAAATGGAAGGCGCTCCCAGAGATATTATTGGAGGGGTGCGATAAGAAATTATCTTCTTTTTTAGCTTTTAAAAACCACTTCAAATAACAATAAGTGAGTTAGGTCATTTTGTGTCTACTGTTAATGAAGATGCTGTCATTTTGTCTTACTGTCCTGAACAAAAGTAAAATCATGGTAATCAATATACACCAGATTTAAAAATCATTATAAATAAGGACTCATCTTCAAGAACAACTTGGTTTCTACTATAGTCGTTGAATAAGCTCATTACCTATAATTTTTGTTTTTCAGTGGATCAATGTATGTATTTGTGAAGAATAACGTACAAGGGAGCATCGACATAGAAGAGAATGGAAAGGTGGTTTACCTTGCATAACACGATTTTGAACGACATTACATGAACTTTTAGAACAACTCCATGATTTTTGATGATAGTGAGAAAAATGTGGATGGTATTTCGGTTGTTGAAAGAGCAGCGTGGGTTATTTAAGCAAATATATCTTCATTCACTCAGCAAACTAGATCTCATTCAACTATTGATTAGAATTCGTAATTGAATATCAAAAATAAAATAAGACTACATAAATCAATTTTTTTTGTTATCTTATAATTCTAAGATCAATGAGAATATTTCAAATAAAATAAATGATAAATAAATTTAAAAAAATAAATAAATGATAGATAAATAAAAATACATGATTAAATTGTTTCTCTTCCCTTACAGAAGTTTTCTTTGCGCCCTATTTTCCGGATTATTCTATGGATCAATGTGGATTCCGATCACCTATATGAGGGTCATTATTATTAACATAGATTCCTAAGTGTCCGTTTTCAGTATAAGACAAGAATTTGTTTTTCTTCAGAGCCATCCGGATAAGTATCCCGATGCTCCAGCAGATAGCATCTCTTACCTATTTTCATTCTTCTGCGGCGTGCTCTGCACTTCAATTTGCACCTTCATCATCTACTCTGTGATAAAGTGAGAACTTTCCTATGCAGTGCGTAGACAAATTAAAACGTCTCAGGCGAAACAAACCTTGGATCAATCCGAGCGGCGTTGTTCCTACGATGTTAGGTGGTGCCATATTCTTCTTTGCCATGGCTGCATTTGTTGTCGCTATCGATAACTTGGATCAAGCGATTGCTTACCCAATCTGTGCAATGGCTCCCGGTCTGGTTGTATCCATCTGGAGCGTCTTTTATTTTAGAGAGATTACGGTGAGGGTTTATAATTGTGCTGCAATGCTTTGACAAGTTTTTCTTCTTACTGTTTAGGGTCGACGAAATTTGACATGGTTGGGCATAGCGTACGGACTTACTCTGATAGGAGTAATACTTGTAACTGTTTCGAAGGAAGTTTTCTTGTTTTGAATTTTCGAGAATAAAACTCGGAATTATAATTCCACAT